GAAGGATCGCCGCCGATGGCAGCTGATGCGAAAACTCGTTTCCTCTTCAGTTTCCATATTCATGGGACGTACGTACACATACATCCGCATCTACCATACCATATACACGTATCGTGTAATGAGTCGGACCGGTTCGGTAATTGATTTGAGCTCTTTTCACGATACACCACAAAAATGCCGACGATGGCACGTCGTTTCGTCGTTTTTTAGCGAGGTCTTCGTCAGGTCGCCGACATCGCGACGTATTATCGGAGTACTTCCACCGTACGGAACTGGAAGGGACTTGGGTGTTTAGTTTCTGCGTGACGATGCATTTTTCGGCGGGGTTTTAGGAAATTGGTACTAAACTAAATATTAGTGTAAGCAGGCACTACAATTATGTTACAGTTCGTTGATTAACATTATAAAGAAACCTGTTAGTAACTGTTCCTAAAAAAAGTGCATGTGATTGATGTATTAATGTATTGGCAAATAAACAAATTTAAGGTGCTTCGAAGATAAAGTAAATGTCAACAAAAATGGACTGACATTTTGCCGAACGTTCGCCACTGTAATTACAACATATGATAAATTTGTTCTGTTTAAAATCAAGAACTCTAGAGAGAGAAGAAGCGGGACTTTCAGTTCTTATTTATTAAAACACATTGAATATGTCACGTCACGGAACCTTAATTTAACGAAATTAATTGGCTCGAATTACACAAACGAAGAAGCAATGAATGAAAGCCCGTTTTACAGCGCAAAAGTCACTAGATCTGGTGATATTCGAAAAAGCGGAAGACTGTGGCGAAATGTCGTCGGGTTCGTTTGGAAAATTATTTGTCAAGAGCGACATTCTTGCTGAATATTTGAACTGGTTGCGTCTGGACAATGAAAAAATGTAACTGTATAAAGGAGATCCTGTTTGTTGACATTTGCCCTCGGCCAATGCAGTGGCGTGATGGAGGGATTTTTTCTAGCGGATTCCATTATTTAGTTTCGCATAATGACTTTAAAATTCTTTCGGATGGTTTAATGGTATAAACACGGAACTAAATCGGCGATATCAATCTGATTATGGAAGAGGAATGCGAGTGTTAAGCGGTTTAGGCTTTTTGTGGGAGATTCTTGACGTGATTTTTTTTTTGTTGGGTTAGGTTTATTAATTCTCCACACAATTTGCGTACCCGTGTAGATTAATGACTTCTTCAAACAAATAGGCGGAAAAAATTAATAAGTGTCAAGTGTGTGTTATTTGTACGCAATAATGAAGCCATAAACAAAAATATCGTGAAAAGGTCCGAGATTTGTCATTGTTGTGTTGACAGTTGAAAAATTCCATCACAAAAGAAGATAAATAATTCCACGAAACGATTTTACTTGCAGGTATCTAATAAATCCTTTGTGATTAGTCAATATTGTCAAATTAAGACTATTAATTATATCAACACCTCCACTCTTATTTAAATGAATAATGATGCAGCACAAATTGCTTTATCATATTTTGTGATACTATCAAAAACTTAGCGACCATTAAATATTAATCTCGATATCGTCCGTTTTAACTGCTCGCTTTCGTTTTTATTTTTACAACATAATCCAATTTTTGCACCCAGGAGACGTCGATTTCGTTCGAAACGTCGCTAATGGATTCCGTCGAGACACGGCCGTCTCGTAAATCGACTTGTTCCGGGTTTTTTAATTTTATTTGACTGCTAGAACTAAACGAAAATAAATTAAACGCGAAAAAAATTCATGTAAATTCATACCGACACCGAATTTGGCACATAAAAGATGCATAAAAAAGTGAAATTTATTACCTTTCGAATATTTTCATGCAAATAATTTATTATGAGATGAAGTCATCCTAAATGTGCCTTTTAATGGTGTGTTTACTTTTGTAACTTCGACACTGAATAATTTATTGGGGTATTAATAAATAAATAATAACCATATTTTCGAGTTCCTGTGTGCACAGAATTTCGTGAATAATCATAATAATAATAATGTTTATTTATTCACAACGCAAGGACAAAATTGTGTATATTACACAATACATTAATAGATTAACGAGAACGAAAAATTCAAGAAAAGAAATAAGTTAAGTGGTTCATTTTTAATTTTCTAGATATTTTCACACAGGCCGTAGTTTATTATATTATGTTGTATTATTTTATTGTAAATAAGATTGTTTTACTCAGTCGGCAAACAATTTTAACTCGTTCCGATTAAAGTGGGATTTATTAACTTGCTGTTGACGTTGAAGTTGCCGTTGATAGTAACTTTGATGTTCAAAAATTTACCATTTTAGACATGTTTTAAGTTTCTTGTTGTCGAAATAAGTCTACACATATTAAGAAAAAAAGGCAAAATGTAGCCCCGCCCACCCACCCTGTCTCAATTGTGATGATTTTTTTTTTTTCGTCGTGAGCCAAGGTGGCGGAACTTAACTGCAAAATCCTTATTTCTCTACGAGAAATTAAAAACATGTTTTTGAGTATCGTGTCGTTCAAAGAATACTAGGTATATTAAGAAAAAATTAAAACCCCAAGATTAAGCCCCACCCATACCTGCCCCGATCTCAATTCTCAATTGTGAGTTTAATTTTTCATTCGTTGTCAGATCGAGGGGCGGGGCTTAAATGCAAAATCCATATTTGTCTACAAAAATTTACCATTTCAAACATGTTTTAAGTTTCTTGTTCTGAAAAGACAACTACGTATATTAAGAAGAAAGGTAAAATATCAGCCCCACCCGCCCGCCCTATCGCAGTTGTGATGATTTTTTTTTAAATTGTCCAGAGCCAAAGAGCGGAATTTAATTGCAAAATCTTTATTATTTCTCTACAAGAAATTACAATGTAAGACATGTTTTTGAGTATTGTGTTATTCAAAATACTATGTATATTAAAAAAAAAAAATAATAATAATAAAGCCAAAGATTAAGCCTCACCCATACCTGCCCTGATTTAAATAGTAATAAAATTTTCATTCGTTTGCAGCCCTACGGGCGGAGCCTAATTGCAAAATCCATATTTCCTTCCAAAAATCTACCATTTTAAACATGTTTTTTTAAGTCTCTATTCTCTAAGAATAAAAAAAAATCATCAGAATTGAGATCGGGTGGGCGGGCGGGGTTAATATTTTGCCTTTTTTTCTTAATATACATAGTCTTCTTTGAACAACACGATACTCAAAAGCATGTTTTTAGTTTCTTGTAAAGAAATAGGTATTTTGCAGTTGAGCTCCGCCCCCTTAGTTAACTGCGAATAAAAAAATCATCACAATTGAGATAGGGCGGGTGGGCGGGCTTACATTTTTGTTTAATATGTGTAGACTTCTTTTCACAACATGAAACTTAAAACATGTTTAAAATAGAAAATTTGTATAAGGAAATATCTATTTTGCAATTAGGCTCCGCCCCATAATTGCAAGATCCATATTTGTCTACAAGTATTTACCATTTTAAACATGTTTTAAGTTTCTTGTTCTGAAAAGACGATTACGTATGTTAAGAAAAAAGGTAAGTTATAAGCCCCGCCCACCCGCCCTATTTCAATTCTGATGATTTTTTATCCGTCGTGAGCCGAGGGGTGGAGCTTAATTGTAAAATCCTCATTGTTCTACAAGAAGTTACCATGTGAAATATGTTCTTAAGTAATCGTGTTATACAAAAAAACTAAATGTATTAATTAAAAAAAAAAGAGAGAAGCTCCACCCATCCGTTTCGATCTCAATCGTGATGAATTTTTCATTCGTTGTCAGACCGAGAGGCGGAGCGTAATTGCAAAAGCGATATTTCCCTATACAAATTTACCATTTTAAACATGCTTTAAGTTACTTGTTTGTGAAAAGATGACTTCACAGATTAAGAAAACAAGGCAAAATGTAAATACCGCCCACCCGCCCTATCTCAATTCTGATTTTTTTTTATTCGTCGTGAGCCAAGGGGGCGGAGCTTAATTGCAAAATATTTACTTCTGAACAAGAAATAAAAAACATGTTGTTAATGTGTTGTTCAAAGAATACAATTTGTATTAAGAAAGAAACAAACCAAAAATTAAGGCCCACTCATATCCGTCCCTAGCTCAATTGTGATGAATTTTTCATTCGTTGTCAGACCCAGGGGCGGAGCCTAATTGCAAATCTCTCTACCAAAATTTGATTTTCGTGGAATTAGTGCTGTTAACCAGAAAAATGTCCTCCCTACTTCAGGGGATTTTCCTTCAAGTTGGCAGTACTTCACACTACCGCAATTTGATTGGTTGAAAACCCAACATCAACGGATGATATAAACGACGCATACCTTCGCTGCGTATTTATCTTACAACGGCGACGTCAGCGGCAAGTTTATAAATCGACCTTCTAAGTCGCCAATTTTATCCAAAAAAAGTGCTTGTGGCTGTGGTTTCGGTAGAATTCTCGGTGATCGTAAATCTGAAATATATGACGCTAGTTATGGGAACACATTAAAACTCTAAACGTGATCATTTGGTGTTCCATCCTCCCATCTCTGAAATCGATTAGCCACCGACCGTGTCATTTTTCATAACAATCATCGTCCACACACAGACAAAATTGCGGCTTGATTCGGCGTGTAACAGTTTCCGTATTTCGTTTCACTTGAACAAAACCAAAGCGGCGATTTTCTAATAACAATCATTATCTAACGGTTGATCGCGTTCTAGCCTGTCCATTTCCCGGTATATCAGTTGTGTTATGTTGTGTTGTCTGAGCGAGTGAATGTCGCGTACTCACCTTGAAACGAACTGACCGTTTTAATTATCCACTCGATAATTTTTTTCAAACTCGTATTCTCACCCGCCGACCAAGAATTATGCCGTAACCGGCCAACCGTGGCAATTAACGCAACAATAAAGTTACGTGTACCTTTGTTTATTGCGTTACGGAGGAAAAAATCCGAGCGCCGACCTCGAGGTGTAGGGTTTCCGCGCGAACAACGATGGGTCCAATGTTGCGCCTTGCGTAATTAGTTAATCTGACTGGTGTTTTTGGTTGCAGGGGCAAATACGCGACCGTGTGTCGCGCCGTCCACAAGAAATCCGGCGTCCAGTACGCCGCCAAGTTCGTGAAAAAGCGGCGCCGCAACCAGGACCAGATGAAGGAGATCATCCACGAGATCGCGGTGCTGATGCAGTGCTCGTCGACGGATAGAGTGATACGTCTGCACGAGGTGTACGAATCCGCGACGGAGATGGTGTTGGTCCTGGAGCTGGCCGCCGGCGGCGAACTACAGCACATCCTCGACGACGGACAGTGCCTGGGGGAGGCCGAGGCGCGGAAAGCCATGAAACAGATCCTGGACGGCGTGGCGTTCCTCCACGAGAAGAACATTGTACATTTGGATTTGAAGCCGCAGAATCTGCTCCTGTCGGTGGAGGATAACTGTGATGACATCAAGCTCTGTGATTTCGGGATTTCGAAGGTGTTGGAACCCGGCGTCAAAGTACGAGAAATTATAGGTGAGTGACAGTTCGTTCGGAGGGTCTTGAACGAATTGGGACCACTTTTTTTTCTTTGCAGGTACTGTAGACTATGTAGCACCAGAAGTACTCAGTTACGAACCAATATGTTTGTCGACGGACATATGGTCCATCGGGGTACTGGGGTACGTCCTTCTGTCAGGGTACACACCGTTCGGAGCAGACGATAAGCAACAAACCTTCCTCAATATATCAAAATGTGCCTTATCCTTCGAACCCGACCACTTCGAAGACGTGTCAAATGTAGCGATAGACTTCATCAAAAGTGCCCTAGTGACGGACCCGAGGTAAATCTGATTTTAGTTACCGTGGAAACCGCGACCTCGGTAGCAAAATTTTCATTGGTCGTCGAAGAAAGTAAACATTAATCGAGGTATAATCATGAGTTTTCGTAACATTTTTAACGCCCACGGGTTGTATTGTTTGGTATCAACGATGGTCATCGATCATCAGTTGCTGATTTATGGCCAACACTTGCATACTTACTTACACAAAAGCTATAATGAATTCATGGAAAAAAGAAAATGTCGTATGATAATCTTGCTTGATGAGTAATAAATTCTCACACGATATAAAATCTATTATCATTTATCTTTGTTATCACTGACTAATTGCGAAAACTTTAGATCGGTTGATAAAATTCAAAAATTGCGTTGTTGTTTTATCAGTAGGCGTTTTCCGCGATCTGGAATCAAAGTTCACAATATTTCTTTCCTTCTAGATTCACAGCTGTCAAAAATCGACAGATTTACCCTTACCTTGTTACAGTGACATTTATTTACGTGAAACTGAGGTCCATAAATTAATACGTAGCTTTAATTTGACAGTTTGATTATAGTCCCTATTTCGGTAAGACGCCAAAATTAACGCCTACGAGGACTAGTCTTTAAATTTAATTTAAAAGTCAATATTCACTAAAAATACTTTAAATACAGGGTGAGTCACTAAGTGCTCTTTGGTCCTCATTAATTATTAGAGATACACAGAAATTATTTTCTACTATGTAGTTTTCCGTTTTGGGCCTAGTATATAACACAGTTTAGTTCTTTCAAACCGAACACCTATACCGGATGTCTGGAAAATGGCAGATTAACTCTTCAATACGTAATGTACGAGGGTTTCGGGAGTCCAAAAATATAATAAAAAAAAATCTTTATGATGTAGATTACGAAAAAAACGTAATTTTATAAAAGTAAAATTGGCAACACTGCACGCACCTAATGCTTACTTTCTGATTTCTTAGTAACGATGGTGACTGAAATCCACCTTTTATTTTTTTAGTACAATAAACAACAACCAGTAGTAATTAATCGTTGTGCATTATTATTAATAAAACAAGGTGTTATTTTCATTTTGATCATTTTTTGTAAAAGTTAGTGCTAAGATAAAACTGATTTTGTCAAATGACATACCCTCTGTAGATGAAGGGTAGAGAGTATATCATTTGGCAAAATTTGTCTTATCTTGGCAAGTATTGGCCCCGCCCACCCACCCTTTACTTTTTTCGAATGTATGCCATTTGGCAATTTCAGTTTTAACTTAGCCAGTAATAGCCCCACCTGCCCGCCCATGATTTTCTTAGAGGACTAGTACCTGCTAAGGTAAGACTGATTTTGGATAATGAGATCCCTCTAAGAAAATAGAGGGCGGGTGGGCGGGGCTAGTACCTGCTAAAATAAAACCGATTTTGTCAAATGACACACACTCTAAGAAAATATAGGATGGGTGGGTAGATCTAATACCCGCTAAGATAAGACTGACTTTGTCCAATGATGTACCCTCTAAGAACATGAAGAGTAGAGAGCATATAGTCTTATCTTGGCAAGTATTGGCCCCGCCCACCCACCCTACACTTTTTTCGAATGGATGCCATTTGGCAATTTCAGTTTTAATTTGGCCAGTACTAGCCCCACCCGCCCGCCCATGATTTTCTTGGAGGGCTGGTACCTGCTAAAATAAGATCGATTTTAGCAAATGACATATTCGCTAAGAAAATAGAGGGCTGGTGGCTGGGGCTAGTACGTCCTAAAATAAGACCGATTTTGGCAAATAACGAATCTTCCAAGAAAAGAGAGGGTGGGTGGGCCGGCCTTCTACCTGTCAAGATAAGAGTGATTTTGGCAAATGAGATATCCTCTAAGGAAAGAGAGGGCGGGTGGGTGGGGCTAGTACCTGCTAAGATAAGACTGATTTTAGCAATGACGCATTTTGTAAGAAATTTAATTAGATTATTATAAGAAAACACTTGAGGCTCCAAAGCACTTTTAAATTCTTTCCAAACAGGAATACCGAGAATCTCAAGATTGTTTCAAATTTTTCAAAAAAAAAAACGGGGTCCCAAAATTAATTCTGAAACAGGTCAGGTCAGAATTTGCCAAAAATAGAACACCCAAAGTTGTTTTAATAATTAACAAAAAAAAAAAAAAACAATGGGTTCCCAAAATAATACACCAAGAGTCTCCCGAATTAAAAAAAAACTGCGCTACTCAAAACCTTCAAATTCTTATAAAAAATAAAACTAAAAGCTCAAAAGATTATTTCAAGTTCATCTTGTAACAAAACACCAGATTCCTCTAAATTTATCCGAAAATAAAACACCAGGGTATACCTAAAATTAACTGCGAATATTTTAAACATAGGGTTTTGAAAACTTTGACAATTTTTGATACGTCAAACACTTTTAACTACTTACTCGATTTTTGCTGACTTTTACCTACGTTTTATATCAACCAGGCAAACATTGTTGTCAAATGGAATTTTATCAAATTCAGCTGATTATTAAGAGCGTAGCGGAGAGTTAATCCGCCATTTTCGGGACACTTGGTATATTTTTACAGGCGCTTTAGGCTTTACAACCGTAGTTTCTTTTTGAAATGCAAATACAACGTTGCCACGTCATTTGAATTTTTTTGTTCGCAAAAATTCCGTCAAGGTTGTTTTGTGATATTTGATGGCGAAATAAACAAAAATGGCTTTGTTGTGAACAGACAAATAACATTGTTTTTATCAAATGGAACCCTCTGTATACAAAGACTCATCACAACAAATCGTATATCTTTGTTTATTTCTACACCAAACATACAACGCAGATTTTTTAGAAATTTAGAAAATAACCGTGGTTGTAAACCTAAGATGATGTCAGTCAGAATATATCAATCGGGGTGTTTCCGTTAAAAAAACATTGTATAAATAGAACTGAGTGATTCACCCTGTATGTTAATTTTGTAATTTTTTTAATTAATCGTTCGATAAACGTAATAAGCATTGCTATGTCAATCGTTGACATTGTTGACATTTGTTGTTTTTCACTATTAAATTTATCGGTCAAATGCGCGTTAATTAAATTAGTGTTTTTTGTTTCAAGTTGATTGAATTTAATCTTGGTGTGAAAGAAGACAGGAAATACAGTGAACCGAGAACGTGCGAACCGAAGATGATAACGGTCGTCAAACTGCTACGTTTATTATAATTGCGAAATTCGCCCAGTGACGTCACTGGAAAGTCTGATCATTTGAGAACCATTTATGATGGATTTTCACAAACGGAAATTTTGTGCAAAAATCCAATTACCGGGTAATGTTTCGTTGACTTAGGATACTAAGAAAATGTAAAAGCCACGTTTAACACGATGTTTTTCTTTCAGAAAGCGTCCCTCCGTACAAGACCTCCTCGACCACCCCTGGATCTCGCTCAAGTGCGGCCCCGCGCCGCCGCTCCCGCTGAAACCCTCGGAGTCCGTCCCTGCGAAGTCGTGCGGCCCGAATCGAAGCATGACGTGCATATCCGAAACGCCGAAAACGCAACGTAAAACATTTTGCTCAGACACTATAACAGGAAGTTTTACAGAATCGACAGTCCGTACGTACACAGTATCGACTAACTGCCTATGTCCGCAATGTGGAACAGCTTGTCGTCACCTGACGCACACACCAGTGCCCAAACCCGCTATCACGGTTGATAGAGGCATTCTATGTTAGCCAAAGTTGTTTGTAATTGTGCGAAGTGGACCCGAGAAAGTTACGAAACAAGCAGTTGTTTTAATGTGCTTGGGTCATGTACATTTCTAGTTTTAAGTTATAATTTATGTTTTATTTGCTTTTTTTGTTTATGGTATAATAAAGTATTCTTTTTTGTTGTGTACATTTTTTTGATTGAGTGGCGGCTTGTGGTCATCGAGCGCTTCGTTGTATATATTTTTCACCATTTTGTTGTTTCACGCGGCATGACGTGACGTCATGTCAGATTTCATGTACAAAGTTTGACTGTCTGACGACGGTCTGTCGTGACCTGTCAGATTATCATACTTATAATGTCTGAACTGTGCCTACATTCATTTGAATTAAAAAAAGTGTCAAAGTAGATAGCACAAAGTGCTTTGTTGGTGTTTCAGATATTATATTAAGTACTTGTGTTGAGCACAATGTAAAGATATAAATTTGCACTAGCGTATATGAGAATTATAGAATTCTCATTGTCTGTGAATGTAGTATTGTCTGTGACGTTTTGTTTGCATTCACATGAGGGGTGTACCAGGGGGGGGACAACAATTGTTTAATGTGTACAAATAAATATCACCTTTTAAATAATTCAGTACATTTGTACCTTGAGCCAAAAATTAATACTTGTCACGTTTAATTACTTTTACAGTGGTAGAATTTTCCAAGTTATCGAGTTTGTTGTAAAAGAACCCAATACAGTTTGTTGCGCCCCCCATTTTGTGTACCTGGTTACGCCTCTGCATCACATCGTTCAAAAACATTAGTATGTTAACAGAATTTGTCTGTTTCAGATGAAGTGGACGATGGTTTAAAGACTTAATCGTTGTTAATCTTAAGTGCATTTTTTAATAAAAGATCGTTTTAAATTTATCGCATTTTTATCACCCAATATGGCTACATTCGAACTAACGGGAATTCGAGCCAATGAAACGAGTGGGCGTAATTTAGTTACCCAAACACGAAACTCCCTAGCTAGTGATACTTGTTTGCACGGTTGGATTGGTAGCACTGTAGTGGAATTTGACATGTCGCGATAATATTTGTGTCGATGTTAAACGTATTAAACAATTACCTAAAAAGCAAGAATTAAAACAACCACAAATCACCTTTTCCATCACTTTGAACCACCCAGACGCTGTTTAATTGAGTGAGTATTCACAGCCAACTGTGACACTAGGTCACTACAAAATCAATACGACATTCTGACACAGTTCTATTTATTGCAATTGTGTCCCCCGGCGCTTCCAAAACCCCACAATTCTTGATTCTAGGTAATCAGAATGTATAACGGCATCGGTTTATCCACACCACGAGGATCCGGAACCAACGGACACGTGCAGCGAAATTGGGCTCTGGTGAAGCCTCGGCAGAAGGAACAAACGTATAAAAACGAGCAAGACTTGACGAATTTGGACGCCGTGACACACCGACAACCCAATCAGGAGATCCTGGACCACGAGCGGAAGCGCAAGATTGAACTGAAGTGTGCAGAGTTTGCCGATATACTTGAAGAACAAGGGTAGGTTTTACAAAGTTTCGGTAACGTAGTGTGTTAATCAAGTGTGTAGTTTTTCGCAGGAGGCCATTAATAACAAAGTCGGCAACTACCGGAAGCTCTTGATGGGTCAAGGGGGCAAGCTCGAGCCACCCGTGAATCAGTGGGGCCGTGTGTCGTAAGTACCATTTTTGCGCTAACCTAATAATTTTCCGGCGAAAAAAATTGCGATATTTTGCGTTATTGGGGTGAGAGTTGCGTCGGCGTCCGTGTTATTTCCCGTGATTATCGATTTCGGCGCAGCATCCGTGCCGCCCCCGGTTTCATCCCCTTTAGTTTAATTTCGGCGATGGTGGCGCCTAGACGCTATCATCACTTTAGCGCTCCGCCGCGATGTGAGAAATAAGCTCGAAATCCCTTGCGCAAACAAAATCTGATATGTCTTCCATTAGTCTGTAAGAGTTCGCAAGTCTTCCATTTTTTGAGAATTTACACTTGTGATAATAATCCTTCGCTTCCGTGTTGAATTTTTTTTTGAGGATTTTATGTGAGTGTTATGACGATGTTTTATTCGACTCCGAGAAATCGATGTCCGGTTGACGAACGCCTCATTTTCGAACGATTGTGGCGAGGGGCTTTTTGTCAAGCGCTGGGGACCAAGTCGGCGTTGAACGCCAGGTCCGTACCGAGGAGGCAGTGCTGCTGCCATTGTCACTGTAGCCAGAGCTTGGCGCAGAACGGGTTCTACGTCAGGTCGACGCAACCCAAGAAGACGATGCGGTCGGTCGTGAGGTAAAAAATAAAAAAACAATGGTTTTTTGTTTTCAATCTTGTGGTATAAAATTTCGCTATTTTGATGCAAAAATTGGTTAGTAATTGCTGCCTTCGTGCAAATTAATTGGCAAAGTGACGCGAATTAAAAGTCTGGTCGACGTTGGACCTTGTTTATGATTTTACTGTCAGACTAAACAGTTTAAAATAAATGGTTTATTTCTAACTGAATTATTTTGGTCTCGTTATACATAAGCAAACCATAATAATTCCTTGTGATCCTAAAGAAGCCACAAAGTTTGGAATGTGCACTCCTTGTCAAGTTCAACTACATTTATAAAGCGGAGTATGAAAAATTATGTATTTTTCGCACCAGGTACACATTGACGGTGTTTTTGAAACCGGAATAATACTGAAGAAGTTGACATTTCGCAGTGGAAATGCAAAATTATGTTCTCTAAAACTAACATTCTCTGTTGAAAATTTACAAGTTAGATAACTTTTCGAACTGTAGAACCAATTACTTTAACATTGTAAGTGTTCGTCTACAAAAAATGAGAGCGTCATTTAATAATCTTGAAAATTCAATGTGACCTACTTTTTAATCGTACTTTAATAAATATATCACTTCTATTTTTATGTGTACGAATTATGAAAAAAACACGTGTTTTTAATCTTCTCATTTTATAGAAATTTTAATAAAAATTATAATTTATGCCACCAAAAAGTTGATGACGTCATCTCAGAAAATTAATAAATCTTAATTGAAAAGGAAGTTTGGTGCTCGCAGATTAAGATTTCTTTACGACTTTACTAATTTTCGCTGATCATTAAATTCTTTATGTCGCCATGATATGTATTATATACAGGGTGTACAAAAAGCCTCGGTCAATTTATCTTCTTTGTTTGAAAAGCGTTTTTTTTTTATTTTGGCGTGTGGTTAGAATTAAAGATTTTGTTGATGACATTTTCAGTTATTTTTATGCTTGCAGGTTAGCCGGAAGTGTACCCAAGTTTTTTTTTTAAGAAAAACTTGTATTTTTTCATTTTTGGAGGCAGAATAATTAACTTTATGTTGATATTAACGAAGTGTGAAATAATCATTTAGTTTAATTTATTTCTTTAACAACATGAGGAGCACAGCAATCAAATTTCTCTTGATTTTGTGTCAACAGAGTTCTATTTATTTAATTTTTGTATAAAATTTGTATGCATGTAAAACCCTTGACATTAATATATCTGTATATGGTGATTATTGACATTTTCTGACTTTTGCAAATTTTTGTAAAGAATTATTGAAAAAATAATTGAATTTTAATATTTGGTTTAATCATATCAGATATTTGACGCAAAATACGTATGGATATTATTTTGACAATCTGTAATCCTTCTATTTCTTTTTAATACTACCAGTCTCACGAAATAATTTTGTCACATAATTGAGTGTTCTTAAATAAATAGCTTCAAGAACAGCAACACCAGGGAATTTTGAAGAAATACCTTAAAACGGGGTCGGACTTCACACACACATTCACCATTCATTTGCGGTAGAATCAAAGATTTAAAAAAAAAGTACAAATTGGCCCCGCCCACCCACCCCTATTCTGCTTTGTTCACTCATTTTATTAACTCGAAGACGAAAGTTGAATTTCATGTTGACAATTACATGTTTTTTAATAAAATTTTATTTTTGCTATTTTTTTTTTCGAAAAACGTTGCCGAAAGTAGACACAATGAGCTACAATTGTAAACGCCGCCCCTTGTTTTCCAAGCCAGTGAAATGTTTTATTAAGGAGGAGCTTGTGCGGGTAGGAGGAACATTGGTAATACTGCTCCTAAAAATTATTCTCACGTCAGCTGTGCTTATTTTACCATCTTGTTTAAAATTTTATCTATTTTTTCGCCAACGGTTTAACAAATTTGTTTTAGATAATAATGTTATTAATTCACAGTATTATGGGTAATCACTAGAATGAGGAGGGGGCGGGTGGACGGGCCTATTGCTTGGTTATAGAACAGTGTAGGAAAAAGATAATTTAGCCCCGGTCACACTTCCGTTTTATTAACTTAGCCCCACCCACCCACCCGTTCTCTACACGGGAACATATATATAACTAACCCCGCCCACCCACCCGGCCTCCATTTCAGTGATCCTTTGTATCTGCTCCGAACGAAAGATGGATCTTATACTCAACAAAAAAAATCGTTAGAATGAGAACAGGGCGGGTGGGCGGGGCTAGTACTTGCTAAGATAAGACTGATTTTGGCAAATCACATACCTTCTAAGAAAATAAAGGGCGGGTAGGTGGGGCTAGTACTTGCTAACACGCAAGCATGACTTTCTTATGATCCTCAGAGAACATTTTTCTAGAGATGAAAATTCTGTTTCTGTTCCAAAACCTGGATAAACCTGATTCAATCTCAAATAAAGATGTCGCCTTAAAAAATACTGTTTTTGTCGAAAATTGGAAAAGCAGTAGGCGAAATGAATTTGTGAGAGACCGAGCCCACCTAGCTATTGCTTGCTTCGAAAAGAGTGTAGGCAAAAGTTAACTTGGCCCCGTCCACCCACCCGTTATCTCTTTTTTTTTTCTAAAATATAATAAATCTTATAGCAAATAATACAACAAAAAGAAACGATTACTGGTTTTTTCTTTTCTTTTTTTTTAATAGCTTAGGTTCTATCAGTTCCTATTTCCGCTCTACAGGAGAACATATTATTAACCCCGCCCACCCACCCCTCCTCCATTTCAGGGATCCATTTTATCTGCTCCAAATGAAAGATAGATCTTATACTGAACAAAAATAAATTGTTAGAATGAGAACAGCGGGTGGGCGGGGCTAGTAACTGCTAAGATAAGACTGATTTTGGCACATAACGTACCTTCTCAAAAAATAAAGGGTGGGTGGGCGGGGCTAGTACTTGTAATCCCAAGCATGATGATCTTGGGAGAACATTTTTTTAGAGACGAAAATTCTGCTTCTATACCAAAACAGACCTGAATAGTTTTGATTCGGTCTGAAAGATGCAGTCTTAAAAAAGACTGATTTGTGTCGAAAATTGGAAAAACAATCAGCGAAACGAATTTGAGAAAATGAAAACACAATTTAGTTGTTAAGACGCGAGATTATAGGCAACCCACCACAACACAAGTTGTATATTCTAAGGGACGACCTACGTAATTTAGTGACATAATGGACAGCGAAAACTGGTTCATAAATCATTAAAAGCCGCACAATTTTATGAAAACTATTAAGATTCCGTTGTTAGCTAGAATAATCACATATAACGCAATAAAACGTGTTTTCTGGTGTAATCTGCTTCGTAAAAAAGTAACGGTTTTGTTTGCTATAGGACCGAGCTCACGTAGCAAAGGTCGTAAAGGGAAAAGCCATAAATTCGCAACTGGGTTTATGTTGAATGTACACAAAAATGTACTTCGTAAGGGATTACGTGAGGCCACGTTTTATTATCATGTAATTACGTTTTTTTCTTGTCATCACATTTTAGAAATTTTTAGTCCTTGGTATTTAATTTCCCGCATACCAAAACCCTGATATTAAATACTTAAAATTCCTAAATTGGATACCACAAACGCAACCGCCACATTACTCCCCGCTTGTCGACAACTTGCCCTTAAATTTTCCACTCATCTCAACCTCTAAACCTAAAATCTTCCCGAACCTACCGACCGATTTGCGGCGACTTTTGCAACTCGAAAATCTCACCGGTAATCCCCTAAACCGATTAACCCATTCCATCGCTTCGCTTCACTTCCAACATTTACTTTCCAATCAATGGTTTTCAATCGGTCACGCGAGAAAAACGCTGCATTTCCATATGTAGGGCCACTGCAACGAGCTTAGTCACCCCCATAACATAACAAAAGGGGAAAGTATTGATCTTCCACCGCAAACGTCGGCCAGGGTGTAGCAGCGGCAAAAGAGCGCCCGAAAGGTCGGCTCGTTCGACTTTTGTTTTAAACCGAGACGAAAAGGCGTTTTCTCGCCGAAACTAAACACAAATTCGGATAATTATTGACGGAGGGTTACGTTGGAAGGGTTCGGTTACAGGGAGGGGCGAATTTTGAGATAGGCGCACCTTTTTGGGCGAACCTTGGCCCAGCCGGTGCTAATAATCGCTTTGTTGTGTCGTGGCAGTTGAAGGGCGAAAGCCTTTGTTTTAGGATGGTTTGTTATAACTACGAGACGGATTTTAGCGAGAAGTTCGTGTTTTTGTTTGGGGTGAGATGGGTCGTGATTTTTTGTTTTTTGTTTTAGTGTGACGGAGACCCATCAAGTGGCGGAAGCCCAACAAGAGAAAAACGCCCGACTTCGCGAAGCTTTCGGTATTTCGGAGTATTTCGTTGATGGGAGTAGTTTCGATCCGGATCGCGAAGCCAAAGAGAAAATCGCACGCTCGAACGCCTTGCAAGAGAAGGAGAAGCAGAAAGCTCTAGAGAAAGAGAAGGAGAAGGAAAAGGAAAAAGAGCAAGCGACGAGGTATGAGCTAGTGCATACCCCGAGTCCCGAACCCGTGTCTGAGGTGAAGAAGAAGAAAAAGCGTAAACGTAAAGAAAGGTAATGTTTTCGTTTGTGTGGTGATTCATAACTGATTTTGTCGCTTTAGCTCCTCCAGCGAAGAACCGAAGAAGAAGAAGAAGTCCAAAAAGCGGAAAAAAGAAAGGTAATTTTTCGACGGATGGTGATTTTTCGTTTCATAGTCGTAATAGTTGGGCAAAAATCCCGAAACTCCGGTTAACGGACGTTAGGGATTTTTCGTATTTTTTTTTGGTTGTTGTTTTTTGAAATCTTTTTGTGATTGTCGTTTTTTGTTCCAAGTTGTGTTTTTGTTTTTCAAATTAAACGTACCTTAATGTGTATTTCCTCGTACTAATTCAATGGTGGTATATTTTTTTGCCGTACATGTTATGAAGGCCCCTGTCAGGTAAATGTATGGTTTGGTTTTCTCCTTAATCATTACATGATCTTGCGTATGTCTAGCTCAGCCATTTTTTTGGACTGAAGGTGCGTTCAAGAATTAGAATTTCACTCTAAGAATTCTCGTTTCAGTCTACACTACAGTTGTGTATTGCGGCTTCCAGAAGAAAATCCACAACCAAATCACAAGCACACTCATTTTGACGCTTTTTCAAAACATAAGTGGAAGTCCAATTTTGGATGAAGTCCAAATTGTGGGTGATTTTCTGGAAGCCATTGCATCCTTCTAGTCTGTTTTTCGGTGAAGCGAGCACACATCTCACCGTCGTTTCTCTTTGTGTAGATCCGGGAAAGTGAAGGACAAGAAGAAGTCCAAAAAGAAGCGCCGCCGTTCCTCGGCTTCGTCCGACTCGAGCGATGACTCTGACACGACTTCGGAAAAATCGGACGAATCGAGCAGCGAAGACGATAAGAAGAAAAAGAAGAAAGTAAAAAAGAAGGAGGTTAGTGCTTGGGCGTAGTTTTCACAAAAAACAAACAAAAAAAATCTTTCTTTTTAATTTCCAATACTTCGGAATGATCATTTCTTTCGTGAGTTATTAGTGCTTTATTCATTGTTATCGTTTCGTTGTAGTTTTATTTTGATGGTAGTTAATTTATTTTTGGAAAAAATAAAAACAAAAACGCACTACGCGAGGTGCGAGCGCATTTATACACTAAAGTTTTCGGGTTTCGTTCGAGCTTTGATTTTTCGAGTTCTTTTGATTATGCATGAAGCAAGTTTTTGTTGATTGAAGTAAACATTGTTCTGTTTGAACCTTGCGCATCATTACATAGGATAGCCTGACAGGCTTTCGACATCGCTAGTAAGTACCGGCCTTAAGGCCTCTAGCACTCGACTGCATGCTCCCATAATTTCGTAAGACCACGATTTGACAGCTACGAAAAACGAGCAAAATTCTGATATTGACGGGTAGCTGTGGGTTGGTTCCAAATGTCACGAAACGTGTATTTGGAATCAAAATTTTTTTTAATATCACAGGATTTGCGAACTTTGAAAAACGTAGAATTTTGAGAGTATTTTTGGGCACATGTGTGTTTCTGTCGTTTGGAAAAAAAATGGCATCACGATGTTAATTACATCTTTGTTCGCACAGAAAAAGAAATCCGCCAAGAAGAAGAAGCACTCCACGTCTGACAGTTCACGCGAAAGGTAACCCAAAATAACTAGAATCTTAAATTTTTACTAACTTTTACTGTGTAGTTCCCCAGAACCTAAAAAATCGAAAGAAGAAAAACGAAAACCGAGCGAAAGGACCAAGGAGAAAGAAGAAACAAGAAGGTCGTTGTCTCCGAAACGCAAAAGAAAGACATCACCGCCGCCTCCTAAAGAGGAGCGAGTGTCAAAAAAGCCGAGATCGCCATCACCACCAAAAGCAAAATCGCGTGAAGATCGAAGAAGCAGATCTCCGCGAAGACGCTATTCTAGATCTAGAGAGCGAAGAGGTTACGGGAACAACAGAAACAATTATCACACTAGATACGACGAAAAAAAGCGATACCCTGAAAGAAGATCGCGTTCGCTAGACCACAAACCCAAATCTAAAAAATCCAGGTCGCCCGAACCCAAACCGAGATCCCGATCTCCGGACCACAAGAGAAAATCCCGTTCGGCGTCACCTAAACGACGGTCCAGATCTAGAAACAAACGATCTCCGGTCAAAGAGTGGCGAAATCGGACGAAATCGCCCGAGGTGAAAGACAGACGGCGGTCGCTTTCGCGAGACAACGAAGACAGAAGAAGAAGGAACAGGTCCCGAACACCAGAAAGAAGACCCAAGTCGCCCGAACGCAGCCGAAAAGGTGGCGAAGATCACCGAAGACAACCAGACAATAGTCGGAGTCGCTCCAGTAGTACTAGGAAAGAACCAAAAGTACAAAAATCGCCTTCTCCAAGACCAAAATCATCGTATTCTCACAAAGTTAACCGAAGTGAAGAAAGACGGTCGCGGTCGCCGCTACATCGAAAAAAAGAAGATACGAAGAGGTCGCTTACGCCGAAAAAAGTGACTCCGCCACTGCGTAAAAGCCACTCCGATTCAGATTCGGAAAAAAGGAAGAAGAGTCAAGATAGAAAGAAGGATAGGTCGCCGAAGTCGAAGAAGCAGCTTCCGGTGGTAAGATTAAGATCGTCGAGCGAAGAAGAACAAGTTGTGGACGTACACGAAAGAGAAGACGAAGAAGAAGATAAGGAGTTGAGGATGTTGAGGTTGTTGAAGTCGGGATTGGCGGCCAAAGCGAAAGAGAGTTTGCAGAGGAAGATGCCGAAACCTGTCTTTAACGAAGTCAAAAGAAAATCACCAAGTCCGAAGCCTGTGGAAAGAAAAAACATAGAAGCCGACGTTTTCGATATTAAAGTTTTACCTCTGAGAAGGGAGAAGTCGAAGTCGCCTAGTCAACAGAAAGAGGTTGATAAGGACGATTTCGATATCAGTAACACGAACGGGAAAGGCAGGAGCATCAGTTCGAGCAAGTCGAGGTCGAGGAGCAGGAAATCCAGGACTCGGAGTTCGTCGAGATCTAGTTTTAGGTAAGTGGGAATCCGGCTCGAAGGATTAAGTCGTTAGAGCCGGATCGTTCGTTCGATTCCAATTTTTTTTTTCGGTAGATCGTCGTCGTCGAGCAGCAGCAACTCGCGCTCCGTCTCCAGGTCCGTATCCAGGAGTAGTCGCTCAAGTACAGACTCGGACAGTTCCTCGAGCTCTAGTAGCGCTTATCGGTCGCGTTCGCCGTCGATTCCTCGACGACACGGTTCGCCGAGTTTCCTCGACAGGCGACGAATCACGAGGTAAAAAGTCGTCGTGTGCACCCCCGATTTGTTGTTTTATTTTTATTTCAGTCACAAGTAAGATCACTTGGAGTAAACAGTTTATCAAATAGTTATATCGCTAAATGTCTTTTTTATTTTTAAGATTATGTAGACTTGACTCAATAAACCTCGTTTCTAGTTGCGTTTTGTTTTTTATTTTCGTTTGTTCGCATGGCTTGTAGTGGTTGATTGTGTTTGCTAAACTAACCAGCTAACTGAATTACTAATAACCTAACCAGCGCAAGGAAGAGGCCTATTCCGTATCACAGACAGACTCCTAGTTCGCCTTCGTCGGATAGTAGCTACAGCGGTAGTCCGTGGTGCTCCAGAAGGAGGTCTACGAGTCGGTCGATCAGCCCTTCTTCTAGGTCTCCATCGCATTCTCCTCTCCACTCACCGCGATCACCTTAACTCTAGTGCAATAACAAATAGCTTAACATTCTAACTTTCATCTTTACTAACGATGGAACCCTTCAGACTTAGATTATCACGATTCTGACTCTATGGTAATCGTTGTTGGTGGACATGCTGTTACTTAATGTAATATAATTAGATATTTCAGTGAAATCTTCATGTTTGGATACTCTTGCGTTTGTGCAATTTTTTTCTAGTCAAACGATTGATATTTTGTGATATTTTCGCTGTTAACTTATTTATTTCATTATTTATTGTAGAAAAAAAAAAGGTTGTAAACACTAATAAACTATCCACACTGAACTGATTATTTCTGAGCTTTCTATGTTAGTAAAAACCATCAACCACAACAACCCAGTGCGTAAAACAAATGATATTTCGAATATTGTTATGTCCAGTCCATTTGTTGGATGGATCACTCCCTTTCTCCTTACAAATCGTAGGTTTTTTGTGCATTAGTCACTCGTTTTCATCCCTTCTTATACTTATCCTTGACTTTATGTTACTTTATGTTAATTTTATACAGCCACACGCATTAAACGCACTAATGATTTAAATTAAAACCCATTAAAGAAGTGGTTTTGTAAGTGGCAGTTAATATTATAATAAATACGTGATTTCTAAACTGTTTATCTACTGTCATCCTGTTGATGTGCTATTATACATATTTTTTGTTATTCATACTTTTAATTAATTTTTTCTGTGTTTGAAGTTTTTTTTTGTAACTTCAAGACTGTTACAACTGTCCAGTGCTTTACTGCTTTGTGTTCTATACCTACCACAGTTTCAGTCAGTTACAGTTTGGATACATTTCTGTGTCACGTCCATGTAGGTACTTTACACCCAGCTTTTGGGTTATAATTGTTGCAATTAGATATCACTTAGTCCGATAATTATTAAAATTAAAACATACGGTATGATAAAGTTATGTTTCTTAAGATATCCTTGAAAAATAAGTGCAGTATGATGAACACGTTTGAACAGTTGGTTCCGTAGTGTAGCGGTTATCACGTCTGCTTTACACGCAGAAGGTCCCCGGTTCGATCCCGGGCGGAACCACTTTTTTTTTCTCTTGTAAGATTTTGTGTCAATATAATTATCAACGATAGATATTCTTTTGCCATAATGTCATCGGCCTTTGTTATTAATCTGTATTATTTCTTCGTAATTTAACCTAACAGTGTCGTTTCCATCTCGCATGCTTTACGATACTAGTGTTTTCCTTCCATGTCTCTAAACCAGCATTCTAACATTGACTCTAACTGTATCTAATCCGAACAAATTAATTTTTAGATTAACTGTGCCTCCCTTTATATATATTTATTTTAATTTAGTTTACTCATTATTTTAATGAGCAGATAAGTAAATTTTAGTAAGATCTTACTAAAATTTTTGCAATTGATATGCTAGTCAACCTCAGTCATTCAACTGTATAATTGGTCACATAACTAGGGTAAATTTTATAAACAAAATAAGGAATACATTATATACAGCAAAAAAATAAATTCAATCATTTGGCGACAAAAGCGTCAAAATACTGGGTAACAATTTTTTATTGGTTTATGGTTATAGTTTAGTGATACTCCAGGGTTCGAGGCGTAGCGTTGTTAAAGAGGTTTATGGATTTTATCCACGTATTTCCTGATATTGTCAACAATTTTCCAGGTGCCGCAAGTCTCCAACTTGTTTTTTTTTTCATTTATACTTCTAGCAGAACCTAAATTCTTAACTAGTCGTGGTATAACCTTCACTAGGGTTCCACAACATAGGAAGCGTCCAACACGGAACATACTAGGGGTCCATTCTAGGCGACCACAAAATCGGATTCATCGAACGTCGGATATACTAGGGGACCACAACATCGGATGCATCGAAGATAGAACTTACTAGGGGACCACAGAATCCGATGCATCGAAGATAAAATTTACTAGAACACCACAAAATTCATCCATCGAACTTAGAACATGCTACGGGCCACACAAAATCGGATGCATCGAAGATAGAACTTACTAGGGGACCACAGAATCGTATGCATCGAAGATAAAATTTACTAAGACACCACAAGATTCACCCATCGAACTTAGAACATGCTACGGGACACACAAAATCGGATGCAGAGAAGTTAGAACTTACTAGGGGACCACAAAATTTGACTAATCGAAAATAAAACATACTACGGGACCATAACATTCGACTCATCGAAAATAGAACATACTAGGGGACCTCACATTCGTATTCATCAAAGATAGAATATACTAGGAGACCAAAATCGAACTTAGGACCGACTCGGGGACCACAAATTTGAAAAATCAGATTTTCCCTAGTATGTTCATGATCCGATTTTATGGTCCCACCTAGTACGTCGTATCTTCGATGTAACCGATTTTTTGGTCAACCAATCAAACTTTGTGGTGCACTAGTATGTTTAATCTTCCATGAATCCAATTTTGTGAATTGAAGGAACATAAAACATACAGTCGGATAATAAAACATCAATCATACTAAGGGACCAAAAATTGATTTTTCAAATTTTGTCGTCCCCTAGTATGTCCTACGCTTGGTCTTGATTCCCTGGTATATTCTATAAATGCAGAATATCCCATATACTAGGGGGCGGAAAATGAAGATACGATATACTAGGGGGCAAAAATTCGATTTTTAAAATTTTGTGGTCCCCTAGTATATTGTATGTCAAATGTTCATAGGATTATACTATGGGACCACACAGTCGGATAATAGAACATCGATCATACTAGGGGACCAAAAATCTATTTTTAAAATTTTGTGTCTATATATTTTTGTATATCCTATATTGATTTTCCGTCCCCTAGTATACAGTATATTCCACTTTATAGGATATACTAGGGGACCAAATAGTCGGACATTCGAACATAGATCTTACTAGGGGACCAAAAAATTTAATTTTCAAATTTTGTGTCCCCTAGTATATCATATGTTGATTTTCTGTCCCTAATATATGGGACATTCTACTTTAGAGGATATACTATGGGACCATAAAGTCGGATAATCGAAGATCGATCATACTAGGGGACGGAAAAGTCTATTTTTCGAATTGTGTGTCCTCTAATATATCCTATACGAATTTTTTTGTCCCGTAGTATAAAGTATTTTCCACTTTAGATGATATACTAGGGGACCAAACAGTCGGATATTCGAACATCGATCATACTAGGGGACGAAAAAGTCTATTTTTCGAATTTTGTGTCCCCTAGGATATTCTATGTTGATTTTCCATCCCATAATATACAGTATTTTCCACTTTATAGGATATACTAGGGGACCAAATAGTCGGACATTCGAACATAGATCTTACTAGGGGACCAAAAAGTTTAATTTTCAAATTTTGTGTCCCCTAGTATATTGGATGTTGATTTTCCGTCCCATAGTATACAGTATTTTCCCCTTTATATGATATACTAGGGGACGAAAAAGTCGATTTTCCGAGTTTGTGTCCCCTAGTATAATCTATGGTAATTTTTCTGTCCTCTAGTATGCAGCATGTTCTACGTTATAGGATATACTAGGGGACCAAAAAGTCTAATTTTCAAATTTTGTGTCCCCTAGTATAGCCTATGTTGATTTTCTGTCCCCTAGTATAGTGTATTCAACTTTATGGGATATATGGGACCACAAAATTCGACTAGTCGAACATAGAACATACTAGCATCCCCAAAACAGTAGTAATGTTAATCAACAATACACAATTTTCTGTTTGAATAAAGTTTATTACTAAGTACATGAATATTGAAAAATTATAATTTAATAGTATACAAATTTAATCGCAGTTATGTACAATTCCCATATTCGCTGGTAACTTTAGCACTTAATAATAACATAAATAATTAGCAATTAAATTAAAGAACGATGACTAGAAAAATTATGAAATAAGTAATCATAGTCAAGTACAAAATTATAAATCACTTATTCATTCTAATACTTTAAATTGTCATAAACATTAATACAAAAGCCTTTCGGGCCACATAAACACAACAACAATCGAAAACCCCACATTTTGCCGACGATCATCACTGAAATCAAGGCAAGCTTCAGCCTTCCATCATTTTCAACTCGACAAAAAATTTCTCAGCTCCACTCGTCGCTTCAAGACTTGACACTGACGGCAGGAAGAGTTTTAGAGAACGGACCTTTCCTCTTCTCCGAAGAAGGCATTTTCAGATCTTCGAACACCTGCAAAAACAACAACGATAAAAACCTCGCTTCGATCGAGTCAGATTTCCGACTTACCGAAATCAGCCTATCCAATCCAAACAGCAGCCCTTCCTCGTGATTTCCCTGCACCCACGGCCTCCTGTGGTCCACCGTGGTGCCGTTCGGCAATTGATTCGTCTTGGCGAAGTCGATCAACCAAACGCCCACTTTACTATCGTCATAAATAATAAACAAACTGCTTCCGACGACCTCCCTCGTCTTAAAATAATCCGATTGTTCTATTTTAGTCCTAATGTCGCACAGTCTTTTCACCAGTCTTTGTCTAACGTCCTCCCTTCCGCCGAGGAACATGTCCAAAGTATTGAACACTTCTTGGCTTGATTTGACTTTCTTCAAATCGGTCATTGGCGGCGATCCCCTGCACTTCATCGCCTCGATTCTGAAGCCGTGGCTGCACGTCGATGACTGCAATTCCCTAAACTGCATGTACCTCAACTTGGTCACGGCTTTGTTACGATGTTCCTCTTCGGTCGGCGCTTTGGGATCTATCGCTACCATCTTCTGGTAGAGATCCACTCGCGCCGCCGTTTTCTTCACCTCGCTCTCGAGGAAGGTCCGCGTACCCATTTTGATATCGACAACGAAGGGATCTTGGAAACCGTGAAGGAGATCTTGTAATTCGATGAACTTTTCCCCTTGGTAGTCCACTTCTCGGTAGTACTTGGGGATGATGTCGCTGAGAAGAGGATCCTCGGACAACTCCTCGTATACCCCTCGCTCGGTGTCGTCTGACCCTCCCGAGCGCTTCTTCCAGACGGTTCCGGGACCCGCAGGTGCTAAACTGTCCGGATGGCCGCTCAATTGGAACCAATTGCTACTTCGGCTCTTTAGGAGGACGTCGCTGGCTGGCGCGCTCAGGTCCAGAGCGTTCTGCAAAGAACGAAACGGTTAATGATGCAAGCGTGATGAGTACTCGGCGAGCACGTGCTCCAATTATTGGGTAATTACGATCAAGGCTGCGTTAATGGGTCAATAACCCTCGGAACCGATCAAAAATTTTGCTCCTTCGAGCCGGACGCGCGCTTCGTTTTCTCACGCCTCGACTCAATCCTGAATAATAACCGAATTAAGTGTCAGAACGACGTCATTTACGTAATTGACCGTGTCGGAAAATTATGTATTCCACATCTCAGGCGGCCTTCGTGCTTGTAATTGTTATTATTAAGCACGTAGGTTTCAACGGCGACTCTTTCTCTGCAAGTAAATTATTCAGGCCGAGTTCTTCCTAATTTCGAAGTGCGTTTTAATAAATCGCGATGTGAGTCAGCAATCGAATCGGCGTCTGGAATGGATACGCGATGTGTCTATAGAAGAGCTATGGTCTATTTTCGTCGGGGATAATCGATAGCGGCGAGCCGGCGTTGCGGAACGAAAAACAAAGGCAGGGAACGATTTGGAATCGGGCGCCCAACGCGGGGGTGCGTTTGGCGCCCGACGTGGGGTGGTTGCTGCGACACTTACGATTGCCAAAAACTTAAGCAGCGACATGTCCTCCTCTCCCCCTTTGTCCCCTACGGCCACCCTCGATCCATTTATGGCACTTTTCGTCTCTGTCAGCTTGAGACCGGCCGATTTTCGCCATCTCTTGAATGCGCTGTGCGGCGATGCGGCTCTAACAGATTTCGGGTGTCTTTTCCAAATATCCGTTACTTCGATATCCTTATCGCCATTCTGCAACAACGTAAAACAGAACAATGAATACGACCTCAACTTAACGCGTTATTATTTCCATAAAAGAAGAACGCGCGTAAACGACCCTGCGTTTTTTTTTCTCTCGCATGCATTCTCAAATCGGCGACTCGTGTTTGTCAATCTCATTCGGTGTCATTTAGAAACGACCACTAAAAACTGAGTCAACTCGCGCGTCACTTTTTCGTTAATTTTCCATCCGCAAGTCGAAAAAACAATCGTTATGCAAAATCGTGACGCAAATCGCTAAACCCGTTTGCGAGGTGTGAGGTTCGAAGCCGAATTCGCGATGCCAGAAAACGGGGAAGAATCGTCCTCCTTACCGAAAATCCTCGACATTTGAAGCAGGTGAACTCTGAGATGAAGCCCGAGTAAGTATCCTTTCCCTTGGAAGCGACGAAATTAACCACAGCCGGTACCATGGCGACTTGGTTAACGCACATGTTTGAGAATCACAAAAAAGATGAAACAACTAAGTCACTAGCGTAACGTAACGTGTACTATCGACGACTCGCTGCGGTGTATGCTCATCGTAATGTGACGGACAACTGATTTCTCTTACCCGAGGCGCGACATAGATATTGAGGCGTTGCGTTTTACGTCACCTTCCACTTCCACCGCAACGCTAAAAACTAGGATACTTTTGTATACAAACAGAAACCAAACTGACGCTCCTCCGCTCGATCGAAGACGCACGATGGGCAAGGTTTTGACGATTTCGGAAAATTCGAAAAACGCGAAAATCGGAAAATTGGAAGAGTAAAAGTCGTTGGTCTTGTTGCCTTCACGGTCGGCACGTGGGAGGTTATCGCCCAAGCGTGAAATTGCCAGCACAAATTCACAAAAAGCTCTCCTCTATTGAAAAAAAAAAAAAACATGTAATTATCTACGTCAAAGGGGTATGTCAGTGTCGGCTTTAAAGAGAATTAAATGATGCATGGAAAACGATTCCAAATCGCAGTATGTCAAAGTACGGAAATACGCAAGAGGTTTGTCAGTATTTGAGAACACCTAAGCAGCCTGATCAAACAACAATGACACACGTGGTTATGATGTCAAAATAGCTAATTTAGCGCGTTTCGACAATTTCAAAATTGTCAAAAACATTGTGCCAAATTGACAATTTTAGGATATTAGATCATTCCAAACAGCAGTATGTCAAAATATGGAATAACTTCAGTAGTAGGCAGTAATTTCAAAATTGTCAGAAACAATGGTTATTTTGACAATTGAAAAATTGCCAAGGCTACCTAGACGAAAGAATATACCCAAGTTTAAACACATGAAATTGAAAAAGTCAAATATTCTTCGTATTTTGACAATTTGAAAAAATTATGTATATGCTGTTGAGAATGTTTTTAAACAAATTAAGCCACATAAATCTAGCAATTTGTTTGGTAACCAATTTCGTGTATGAACGGTTTATACAACCAAAACCAACTATTCAGGTAATTTTTCAACCACACAAAATTGACCCAAACTACACAATTTCATATCTTTTGATAATCAAATTTCACTCAACCAGATAAAAATCTCTTACGCACTGTGAAATTTCATGATTAATCTAAATCTCATGACCAACAAAAAATCCGTAATTCAGTCGCGCCATTATCCAAATCAGGAAGCGAAATTTGTGTAACTAGACTTGTGAATAAGAAATGTGTCACACTGTTGGTGTTTTCGTCTACCTTTTTGTGCGTCGCACTAAAAATTATGATAATACAACAAATACCTAACAGTTAGTTAATGACCACGTGCCACCGAATACAAGTCACAATCATAAAAGCCACTAATCGTTTACCAAGTAAACACGGAAAAAATGCAAACATAAACACCTTAAAAAGGTGTAAATAATTCTGCGTCAATAAAAAATATTTGGGGGTTTAAAGTCCGACAGATTGCACTTGAACGGTCGGCCTGTACCAAAATTAGCTTTATCGAAATTCGGAATAGCCCCAAAGTGTCAAATGTCAGGTTCCATAAGGTCACTAATACGAGTAAGCGAGTACAAAGTTCGATGGAGAGTTCTGTTGTGTTTTGCGGTTTATTGCACCACTATTTGAATGGTGTAAATATTAATTCATTAGGACAATTTTCTATGTTGACGAATTTATTAAGAGCTAACGTAATCCGACGACTTTGAAATTCTAAGAGAAATTTATTTGATCTTGGGTATTGCGAGGTGTTTGTTGTACTATTAAACATTTATATATCAGACTGACACCGATATTATATTAATCGTTTAGATAGCAAATGGAGTCTCAACGAATACGATAAAACGAGCCAAGTCTCAACAAGCGGTTTTATGCACTTTTAAGTCTGGGGCTCTAAAAGTTACATAAGCGTTATCAGCAGTCGCAATTAGGATTTAGTACAACTTTATCAGGTTCAAATATAGCGCCAACTGTATACACACTAGGTTACCATTAATTATTACAATACCACGGCAATAAATTTGAAGTTAAAAGAATTTGAGAGTTATTTGGTGTTCAAAAACTCTCAAAGTCTGTATGTCTAATGAACAAACGTGCTTCTAGTGACGTTATTAGATTCACTTGTCCTTTAAAAATTTCGTGCTATAAATTATCCCAGACGGATATATGAATGAATATTTGCCTACACGCTTTTAAAATTCGGGGCCACCGCGTATTAACTCCTGTCCAAACAATGAATCGCTCCCTATTCACGTCAACGATCATTACTAATTTAAATTTCAATGATAACAAAATACACATGATAGATAACCGAACAATATATGTTTTAACGCAAACAACACGTATTTCCATAAATCACCATTAAATACCCCATGAATGAGTCATGTCGGATTTTAAAACCTAAAAGGGGTCAAAAATCATCGTCCACGTAAAGACATCTAGGGTAGAACTAAATGAGTCATCGACGAAACTAAAAAACTTTTCCTGAAAAAACAATTATCTTTCAGTGTAGCGCAAGGAAACGGAGAATGTATGACGCACGGCTGTCGTCTTTACGGAACTGCAGAAAGAGTAATCGACGTAATTTTCGTACAACGATGGTACATTATGCCCATATGGGCCTTTGTTTATTCTAGCGAGCGCTCGTAGGTGGTTGTCGCTTAATTTCGCTATTACCATGCAATTAGGTGCTTCTGGTGATCTGCGTCATTTTGCCGCGATTACGTATGCTGCCGACGTTGATTTGTATCGATTTCCGTATTGAAATCCTTCCGAATACACGGCGAGTGCTGAGAATATTCATTAGAGGAAAAGAACAGGTGTAGCTTTTGACTAAAAGAGGCATGAAATGTGACAGGTTTAACACCAACTTTTCGCTCTCTTTTTCAACACCCTTGAGCTTCAACAAAGTGAACAATATGGATTTGGGGTTATATTAGAAAATTGTGTCATCGTCTAGATCCATGGACACATTCTTGTGCTACAACGTAAGGGTTTTCTTTGACGTCAACGGTCATTCTTTTAAACATTGTTTACTGCATGAACAAATTCTCCGAATAGTTAAATCTCGTAATTTCCCCGTTTTTGAAATCTCCGCGAGTTTTTAACCGTTATTCCCGTTTAAATTACCTCGTACTCCCCCTTTATTATTTCCAAAGACGAGTTTCTGCACTATTAACAATAACAAACATTTTTTGTCTCCTCGCTCATTCATTACTCTGTTCACTACGCAACTGGAAATTCGGTTTATTTTTAGACCCCGATTAAACACAGCGGAAAAAATGATAAGACGTATTTTATTTACTTTGAACTGTTCGACCTTTTGGATTTTCTTCTAGCACGATCGGCACGCAAAATCTGGGTCTGCCGTCTGAAGATGGTTCCGCGTCCGGTTCTACTTTACTCAGAGGTCAGTTAAATCCAGTACGTAAAGACCGTTCGGTCCATTTTTACCATCACCTTGAGTACTATGTTCGCTTGTTTAATTATCAACAGTAGTAACAATTTTATGGACTAGGAATGCGTAGCATCTATTTTTTCGGCCAAGGTGAGAAGGCTTAATTATAAATAGCAGAAAGAAAAATTGTATCAACAACGATTAACGACGAAGAAAGACGTTAAGTATTATGAAATTTCTGATGTAACGTTTCAAGATCAACCATTTTCTAGAGTACCTTTACTTTTTAATTTGCTGTGTGAAACGCATGAGTCACTAGATTTGCATTAAAAATTTATGATTTATTTTGAATTGTGTTGTAACATTAAAAGAACAATGCAGCGCTAAATTGAATAATTCTAGGTTTATTAGTCGTTAAGTTTTTAATGCTTGTTAAAAATTTTATTCAAGTCATAAAATTCCTAATACGATTCATTGTAAACTGACACACTTAAGAACTCTTGGTCGGAATCATAAAGAACTGTGTTTGGCACACCGACTTAACAAGTGGTAGTAAAAAAAAAAAATCACAGCAAGCGCCAAGTACGTAATGGTGCCGAGTTGATCATTTGTTGCTGGAACAGTCTCCAACATCGCATTTTCTAGTTTTGTTACCACCAAAAAAGTGCATTCAATTCATACATATACATCTACTTAGAAAAACGTTGATGGTATATCTCTGTATATAATAAAACGTGATAACTTTGTATTGTTGCAATTTCTTTACATCTGTAAGCCAGAGTCGCCTCACACTGATTTACATTAGCAGATCGCTTCAAGATGGTGTTTCAAAGCCTCCACGATCATTTTAAAAGTTAAACTACATTTTTTGCGCATTGTTTAATTTTTGTGAGATATTGTATAAAATGCATACAATTGTTACATCATTATGTAAATGAAGAATTACGGTATTTTAGTACTTTTAATGGATAGAAAAAACCCGTTGAAAACAAAACAATGTTATGTTAGAATAGAATTAAAAAGGATATGTCAGACATGTTTTTACAGGACAGACAGGTTTGTAAATTATTCTTTTGACGATGTAAGCCACTTAAGTTATTATCAATGTCTGATGTAGCTATCAATTTAATGAATGCTTAACTATGTGATTTTATATTTAAATGGTTATTGATAAGGGAAAGTAAGTACTTTAAAAGCATGCAACAATAACAATACATCAATCGAGTTGTTTTGGTTTTTCCAAAATTTTTGAACTCTTATAACTTAAATTAAAAAAAAAATCTTGTATTACGGAGTTTTATTCTATAAATTGAGGATATCACTGGATTCTTTTTTCGGAAATATCAAAGAAAAAAATAAACACTATTAAATTCAGTCAACAGAGTCAAAATTAGCACATAATTACAGTAGAATCAACACTATATTTGACGTCGTAAATGACAATAAAAACATCTCAAAAAAAATAATTTTTGTGTAGCTGTTCAAGTTTGACAAAGAGAAAGCGTTAATTGAAGAGTTCTTGGACTTGGTACACATCCACTACGCATTTTTCAAAGGCTTGAATGGAAGTGTTAAATTCAAACTTAATCAAAATGGCCACTATTTACCATAGTGTAAATGATTTTATCAGAAACAATGCTAAACCAGTTCTCCAGTCACGTCCTAGACCACAATCGTGATCATTCAACAAAACAATCCGTCGGAAATTTTTCAAAAATTTAGCCAAAAACCGCAACCTCCAAAACACACCACGGAAATTTTTCCAAATTCCAAGCCAACAATTAAACTCAAATTAAGTGTCATTATTCTGTGATTATTTGTTATTCGTCCTAAAACCAGGCCGACGACCTACTTCTCTAAAAAATTATATCATAATTTTTGCAATTTACAGCAAACAGATGGGGCCGATTTGATTGATGTCCGATTAAATTCGCCCGACAGTTTTAGTTAAAGCAATAAATATGCCTCGAGTTTATAGAGTGCGAAATTTTTGTTTAAAATCGAGCCTTAAACTCTTACATTAGCACGTCGTTATTATTAAAGTGTTCTGCACGAAGTGTGTGTATTCCGGATCTAATTAAAATTTTGTATATTTTGACGGATTGGACGATGATGCGAAGACGAGAAAACTAATTGGTGTCCATTTACAGTCCGGTTTAGGGTTTCGACGAATGTTAATT